TTAATTTAGTGAAAACAAAATTTGTAAAAATTTAATTTACCCTTTTCATTTTTCTTATCAATAATTTCCTTTTTGGGAAGGGCTCCATAATACTCTGCAATTACCACATTGTCATTACACCACAATTTGAAAGGATGATTTTCCCCTTTCCCTCTATCTTGGACACCTCTGTAAGTTGGACACATTATCGTGGAACCGCAAGTGTCCAAGTTAGAGAGGTTTTACTGTATTATATTATTATCTATTAATCATTTTAATATTTCAACAATAGTAAAATGAAGAATTTTTATACAATAATCATAAATATCAAAACTTAAATGTATGATCTGAAGCTTTTATGGCTACCAGCCATGTAAGGTGGTTTAATGGAGGAAACACCAATATTTCGAGAACCATCTTTGTCCTCAGGGTACTAAAGTACTTCAGTACCCTGAGGATGAGGATGAAACGATAGTGTTTTGTCCATTAAACCATCTTATATAGTTAGTAGCTCAAGAAGAATTCATTATATCAAAACTTAAATTGCATATATTTTAAAAGTAGTTTTATTTCTCCATGTCTACTGTCATATTACACACATTCACTAACCTCACAAATGGTTAGAGCTTAAGACAATTAGTGTTTAGGTTCTCACCTTGGACAATGAGCAGTCTTTTTAGTGATACCATGCCAATACTGTTATATGCATCAAGTCTGTACATCCCTGCATCGTAGAGGTTCGGATGAAACACTTTCAGGATGGTCTGATCACTTTTGGATTCTATACCATATTTGACCATGTCTGGATGCAGCTGATTACCATTTGGGCCATACCATTTCAGTGTCACATTTTCTGGAGCAAAGACATTTACTACCATTTTCACTTCCTTGGTTTGCCCCACTTGCATGAAGATAGTCTCATTGGAATCAGACTTTAAAGTGATGCCAACTTCATTTTCTCCTGCCAAAGAGTAAATATTCTAAAATTTAGCACATTTGAAGCGAAGCTGAAATGAAGAAAACAGTTAAAAGTGAATGACACTGATGCACTCAGTTGAGATGATAGAAGCCTAATCACTTCTTTCCACATTTCTGCTTATGCTGATAATGTCTGGTATGCCACACAGGCTAAATTTACTGCACTACTAACTGTAGAGATATTGTTTCAAGTATGGCAATAAGAAAAAGGACACTCTTTATTTGTGTGAGAAATGTAATTTTAACTTCTGCATCAAATGTTTCGAGAACTTCCACACTAAACTGAACTACTAAAGAAATATTGTATTCATGCATACATGAAATCATAACCCAGACCACCACAATCCAACATTATAGTGGATATTAAGAAACACAGAATCACCTAGAAAGCCTGACTTCAGGCCAATGAGGAAGACCAAGCAGCTATCCATGACTGAATTTGCAGTCTTGACACTACGACCATTTAAAATTTGTGCTTGCCAGAACATACAAGGCATTGTTCAGTCAGGATTCCAGGCACCAAAATATAACTCACCAATAACTTTAACTGTTCTGGAATTATTTCTTGTATTGTTGTATTTGTCATTTATCACACATGTGTAGGTGCCTCCATCATCATCAGTCACATTCATGACTCTGAGAAATGTAACCATACAGTCATAGTCACCGTTCTTGCAGGAAGTCTGTGGGGTACTGGCTTGCTGCAATAACAAACGTTACATCAGCTGCGTCATTTTATACCTCTGAAAATTCTTAAACTAAGAATATTAGAACAAATATTTTAACACTAAAAATATAATTTGATAAACATTACCCATACTTCAATTATTTAATATTATTATATGAAAATATTGATTTCTATCTTCATAAAAGAGCAAGTGGATGCAATGTGGGTGTAGAAGAACAAATCACAATCAGCCTCCTCCCACCCTCATGTCACTAACAGAACTTCCTGCAGAATAAACTGCTCTTGTTGTGCAATATTTTTGCATGAACTGTTTAATGTTTATATTAGCCTTTTGATATTTATAACTTGTAACAGTTTATATTCTCAACAGCCATACCAAATAAATTATAATAAAAATGGAAGGTAAGATGCAAACTGTAAAATTAAAAATTAATAAATAAATAATAGACATACAAATTTCTGTGACTTGAACCACATGATCTTCATGTTTACACCACGTTCTGATAATCCCTGGCACTCCAAGACTAGATCTCTCCCTTTTCGCACAATGATATGTTCAGGACCAGAGATTCTTGGTTTCATTGCATAAGTAGGTTTGCCTGCAATAATATATGCATTACAAATTGTGCATAAATAAGTCTAACAGGAATGAATGTACTATTCAGTTTTCTTTCAAGATTTTTTTATAACTGTATCTCAAAGTAAATGTCAGTTGTGTACAGAAACAAAGTAAAAGTAATTTGCACAGTTCTGTGAATGCATCACACAAAATATTTTTTGTGCATCTTCTCCCATTCATTAGCCCAAATAACCAGGAATTTGCTGTAAAAATATTATTGTCAATTGTCATCACCATCACCAACCAATCACTACCATCTTCCATTGTATCATCAAAAACAGTGGGCCATATAACAAATCCTACATTTTTCTTTATCCTCTGATCGCAGCCCCTTTTGCATCTGTACATTCCCTACCCTTAATTTTGTTCATGCACTAATTTAAATGTTGATGCTCTCAAATGTATACACTCTCATCCTGTGCCCATGTCATTATATCCTTTATTTTACACATTTTTTTTGTAGTGTTTCTACCTTCAGACCTTGCCCGTATCCTAGTTTCAGATTTTATCCCTTCCTGTTTGTTTCTTAATAATTCATAAAAACATCAATGCTATTATTCATAAAATGCTTTTGTTCCATGTGTCACAATAGACAATAAGCAAGATAAACATATTACTTGGACACAAAGTTTTATGATACATTTGTAGGTTAAAGTTGTATGGGCAATGTAAGTGCTGAAATTACACTTATTATTTTCAGTCCCTAATGATATAAGTTACTTACGTTCACTGACAAAAAGATTCATGATGGCAGGGAAGGGCATGTCTTCATTTACACATTTGTATTCCCCACTGTCAAAGATGCCAATGTTTTCCAAGGTGAAACCAATAGTGGGATCATAAGCAATATTCAGGTTGCTATCTTTCTGTTTACCCAGGCTCAGCTAATTCAGAGGAAATACAATCAAAATCTCAGTTTGAATACCCTAGTCTCCTGAAATGTGCAGACAAACAGCTCTGGAGGCATATTTAAAATTATATGTAACAAAGTTTAGTATATGAGACTGAGTTAGGTAACAATCATTAAAAGGCCCCAGTAACAAACACAGATCATGCAACTTATTATGCTCAAGGTAAGTTGTTTGGGGGAGGGCACAGCAGGAGTAGAGGATGTGGAATTAACAGCACCAGCAGGAGTAGCAGTAGCAGAAGTTGTTCTGTGCTGAGGCCTCAAGCTTATATCACACAGCCCAGTGTTTATTACTAGTAGTGGTTATTACTAACAACATTCATGTTAATAAAGTGGCTAGATGATGACTGGAGGGGGGATATGGGAGTATACTTGAGGGGTAAGCATAACTGATCAAGGAAAATGTGGGGGATATGGGAGTATACTTGAGGGGTAACCGTAACTGATCAAGGAAAATGTGAAAGGTGTCAATCCCTGGGACTTCTTTCCATCGTAAAAGTACAGGAGTAGTAGCATTATCTTCAACAAACTCTGTAAAAATGAAGTCTTCATAGCAATGCTGCACACATGAAGTATGAAAACAGAATAAATTTCATTTTGAAAAACATTTTTGGAATATCAGATAATACCTTTTTAGTGTTGTTATTTAGGCATATGAAAATAGTAAGGAGGTCCAGAGCACATCCAAATGCTGCTCCATGCAAAAATTTACAAGCACACATGGATAATATCCCAGATATTAGAATTTATTACACACCTTCACCAGAAACGTTAAAAAAGAATTTGGTAAGTTATATTTGATAGCTAAAAATTGGTCCAGCAGTGTACAATGCTTTGTTCTAAAATTATATGTCACTTCATACTCACATTTTTCTCATCTTTATTTAATGTTATTTTGATGTCAGGACTAGTTGGTCGACACGGTAAAACTGCATTTCTCTTAACTTCTGCATATACGTGACAAAAGGAATCACCAGCTAGAAGGTTTTCATTATCTGAAAATAAATAAATAAAACCAATTACTAACTTACGTCATGCTAAGCATTCTTGCAGAAACTACTGAAGGTAACTATTTATTACTTCTTGGTACAAGGTATTGATAGGTGTTCAAGTGTTACAGAAATGTTTTGTTGCAATGAAGGTTGTCATTCAGTTAAGACAGTCTTATCACTACAACATAGCATGCCTGCAAAATGTGAATAGAGATGATGGTCTCTACATATGAAGGGTAAATGCAAATACATTGAATAAGTGCAATTTAAGGTTACTGTGGCAGTTAGAATGGAATTGCAACCTCCTGGGATATTGCACCATGTAGTCTCATAGAAGTTGACTGACATTTCAAGGTTAATAATGGAGTAAATATGCATGCCAGAAATAATTAACTTCTATGAGACTACACAGTGCAATATCCCAGAAGGCTGTCATCTTCATATTGAATTAGCACTTACAGATAGCTGAAAGAGGTAGTCCTCTAGTTTGGAAGTTGGGTGGTACTTAACCAGCCCTTTACCATAAGAACCAGAGGGCCCTGTACATCAGTGAATCTTTCGTATTACTAAGGAATTCAAAGTATTTATGAGATTTGGATCTTGAAATGTCTGAAGTCTGAACAGGGTAATTAAAATTAGTAACAACTTAATCATCATGGTTTTAAATTGGAAGGAGTAGCTTCTGAAGTCTGAACAGGGTAATTAAAATCAGTAACAACTTAATCACCATGGTTTTAAATTGGAAGGAGTAGCAGTCAACAGATGGAGAAAAGGTGGCACTCAACCAATAAACAATTACTAATTATTTTTATGGAAAAGGGAATGATAATCGTCATTAAGGGACAGATTTCTTCATGCATAATTGAAATCATGAAGCTGACAAACATAAATGCCTTCTGATACATATAACATATGGACTGACCTTTCACATAAATATATTTGCGCTGTGCACCTTCCATTTGAAGGCTACATTCTGTGGTGTCATTCCTGACACAGTAGTAATATCCTGTGTCTGTGTACACTGCATCTTTGATAATCAATCTTCCCTTGTAATTGTTTTCTGTCGTATAAGACAGTTCAACATCACCTGTGGCATCTTTAATCTGAAAGAAAATACTAGCTTTATGGTATATATAAATTGCGCCTTCGTATCTTGACGAATATCTAAAACATATTTGTAAAACCCATCTAAAATGGAATTTGGATTAAGCAGAAACCTCAGTCTATTAGAAATATTCTTTAGCTTTGTCAATGTAGAGTGTAAACTAATGTAATATAATGACACACAGCACAAACATGTATTATCACCATTTTCCTGAAATATATGACAGTGAAAAATAAGTAAATAAACTAAAATATCTTAAGAAGATTTCTGTCTTCTGTGTTGTTGCGCTGTGTAGTCTGGTCGATGTTTACCAACGTTTCAGAGGTCATAGTGCCTCCGTCATCAGGGCGATGAATATTCAAAATTTCAGTCTAAAAATTCGATTTTTTTTAGTTATATTCGCTTTTCATGCCATTTATAACCATTTTTAATTTTTTAAGATTTTGGAAAATTTTGAAATTTTCGTCGATTTGAAAATTTTCAAAATTTCCAAAAATTTTAAAGAAATAAAAATGGTTATAAATGGCATGAAAAGCGAATATAACTAAAAAAAATCGAATTTTTAGACTGAAATTTTGAATATTCATCGCCCTGATGACGGAGGCACTATGACCTCTGAAACGTTGGTAAACATCGACCAGACTACACAGCGCCACAAACCAGTAGACAGAAATCTACAAACTCACCGCTGTGAAAACCTCAAATCTTACATAAAATATTTTATAGGCTACACATTTTCACAATATCTCTATTAGTACTGAATTTGGAAAGAGTTAAAATACATATTTATTTAAGCTCTATAGGAAGAATAATATGAAGTACAACCAAAGGGAATCACGTGCTCATTTAACGAGCGTCACAAGCAAAGTTTCTACGAACCATGCAGCTGTCATTGTACACTCTTGGATAGCACCAGTGCACAGGGAATTCTTCCTCACAGTTTAATTCAATTGTGGCTCCTGATCTGGCTACTTGTGTGTCATGTTGCCAGCCTGCATGTGAAGATATTAACACAAATAAGTGAGAACAATGTGATCGTGGATTTGACAGCCGATTTCAATGCAGGCATATTCATAGGTACATTAGTTCATTCTCGTAATTGTGGTGGTAATGATAACATTTCAGCATCTTCCTAGCCACCACCACATCACAAGGGACCTCTTTGGAGGCTTAAGCACATACAGGAGGATAATATTAAAATGGACCTGGAAGTAGTAAGATATGAGGGTTCATCTGGCTCAGGATAACAGTTAGTGATTAGGTACTGTGAATACTGAAAGGAGAGAATCTTTGGGTTCCATGAATGGCAATGAATCTTTTGACTCGCCTGCAACTATCAACATTTCCGAGGACTAAATTGACTGTGCATTGCGCTGGGGAATGTCTACTTCTGTTAGATGCTAAACAAGGAGGATGAACTGCTGCTGTTTCCTGCATTTCGAAACAATTAAATAAATTCTGTACAGCTTATGAGTATTTTTCATCCATTCCGTCTTCCGAACTGGAGACGCGTATTAAATTCGGACAAGAGCGAGTTGTTACATACTATAGAACTTTTTTACGTTTTACGCTGAAATACTTCTACATTTTGGCGTCTATATAAGGCCAGCGATCGCTTGCGTACTAGAACACACGATGCTGATGGCCATGTCGAGAAGTTTGGTTTCCGGATTGCATCATCACACAAGCCCATGGGATTTCCGTGTGGTTTGCTATCCTACTTCCTTCCGGGAAAGAAAGTGACTATATATCCGCTCAACGACAGGAAAATATACACATAATCCAACGAAAGTGAAGCTTTTTTTTCATATTATCAGCCTACTTGCCGATACACAGCCAATGTTCTTACAATTTCACGTAACTAATATTTAACACCAAAACGAAAGCCTACTATTGGACAAGACCGTGAGCCAGCTAAATCCAGCTGACACAACCCATTTAGTACCTATGTTGTCTGCTTAATGTCAGCACAAATTAAAGCACGTGCAGTCTTGGAACACTCGAACACTGTGATCACAGGTTCGAGTCAAAGTCTGGATAAAGACAGCTAAGTTTATCTTACTATCGTTGTCGTCTATGACGGGGCTGATCCTTAATATATGGAATAATTTATTGTTTAGGTAGTCGATTCGGAATTGGGGTATGCAGTAAGGGTTAATTTATCAGCTCGTGATGAAGAGATGTTGTTTAATTAACTATGAATTAATTAATCGGTCAGTTTCCAGAATCATATTCCTGATTTAAATATCCGTATTTCGAACTGTGCTTCCAAAGTTTGCCTTTCAGATGTTTGTATTAAAAATATGTCAGGAATAAGTTATGATAGTTTGGAATTTCCTGTCATGAGATTTCAACATCACGATGCCAAATTTTACACATAAATTTTCCTTTTCCTTAGCATAATATTAGTAATATGCAGTTGGTGTCGAAAAGGTAAATAAAGGAAATAAAGCGATAATCTTATCTGAAGAGAGAAACCGTTTAGAAATCACGTGGAGGATGCGAGAAAGAGCTCCAATCCACAGGCTAAAATAATTGATTACTTTGCAAGACAGCATGACTCAAACGGTGTGCCCTGCCTTGTGGGGATCATGTCCGTTAGTATATGCGCAATGTCGAGCTTCCACGTTTCCGTGCAATTTTCTTTGTTCAGGAAGAAAGTATTTTGATTTTCTCAGATGTTTCAGTTTTACTTCATACAATTTTTGATTATGAAATCACTAGCCCCTGTTACGATTTCGGAATGTTGGGTACAAAGACGAACTTATGCATTCAAACAACATCATTAAATAAATAAATAGAAAAGTTCTTGAAGAAGAGTTGCATCCCATATGCCCAATCTAAACTACCAAAGGGCACCGCTGTGAAAACCTCAAATCTTACGGCCTTTAATCTATTGAACAATAACGTACATTTATAATGTAAATAATTAAAAGTTATTAAAAATAGAATATTAGAAGAATACTTTAAAATAATAGGGATGAATACATAATTTAATTATAATATATGTGCAGGCCTACATAAATACATACAGAATAATGAATAATTTGAAAATAACAACAAATTAATCCAGGAACAAAAACAACAAACATAAATTAATTTCATGACAAACTCAGGAAAATGAATTCTGGAAATATAAATGAATATGCATTTCAGACAATTATCATCACGTTTACTTTCCAAAACACAGTATTTATAAAAAATTTTGCCAATTGCTTTCTAATGCGCATGAAACAATACAAGGAGCAAACCTCCGAAGACCAGAAATGTTTCTTACTAGCTTCAGCACTCGGAAGTAAGAAGGGTTATTGTACGTTCCTCACAACGTCTTGTAAAATTCTGAACATGTTTTGGCAAATGGAACTGCGCGACAGCGCGCTGAGCAACTTCACGTACCTGGAGAGACTGCTACGCAGAGCACAAGCAAAAGAAATCTCACTCCATAACACGCCATGCCGTCGGCAAAACTGAAATGGTTCCTTATTCAGGGTCAGATAAGGCTCTGTATCTTGCTTACATACACATCATATCAAGGAGGGGAATTCTAGTAGAATGCGATTTCTTGAAACATCTTATGATAACTTCACATTCATGAGCCGTCAGCAGCTGATTGCGGTCTAACTACGTAGTTCCTGGCAGGGGCTACCGCAGTGGCCAGAGCGGTTTCTGGACCTCAACCGACCAACAACCAACTTCCTGTGGCTAAAACACCGGGAGCAAAGCGGAGAATCATGGACTGAACACCTTCCAGCCAGCGGCGGGATTAATAATGTATGGAGCGTCACCTCTCCGCCCACTATACGCCTTCATAGTGTGACATGGCTCCCCCCCCCTTGACCTTTCCTTCCTGTCTTAGTGCGATGTATTTTCAGGCTCGCAGATATTTTGCGCATGAAATCTGTGACCCTTGGCTAACTGGCAGTTCACACTGTTGTTGCTTACTGGGCCCTTTGTCGGTATCTCATGACCCATTCTCAGGTTGCAGAAGACAGATATGGAGGGTGTCCGTAGACAGCCGACAAAGGGTGGTCCTTCATTTTGGGGAGATGGTGGTAGGTAGAAAGCTCTTTATTGTAAAATTCACAAATGATTTACGGGCTCCTGTGAAGGGCCTGTGGGTTCAAATGAACTCAGAGTTTTCGATAAATTATTTTTCAAAATAAATACCACAATGAGGTTAATAATACGTGGAACGTCAACTTCCCTATGCGTCTGCATGGCAGAATTTTTTTACTGGGGGGAGCGGGGGCATTGCCTATACGTGTTATTTTTACTATTCAATTTTGAACATCAGTGCAAAATTGTTGCTTGCATTCTCCTTCACTGATATTTGGCATTATCAAAACTTCTTGTATATGAGGAACATGAGATTCCACCATGTTTGGGATACCACGTTATACAGGTGGTTCCCTCTGGCAGCCATCACATCACATTAACTATCATATTTTATCGGGATCAAAATGTAAATCCCAGTTCTTCAGTAAAAATAGGGACTCCTGCTCATATCCAGACACAAAACGTGTAAACCACAACAAATACTGACGTGTTAGTATTATTTTAAGATCCGTTTAATTAAAGCAAAACAATGGGAACACGGCGGGTCCACACTGCATTACTATCTCTTAATGGCAGATCATACTACGTACTCAAACGCCGCTGTGCAGACGATTGGGCATTTAACGTTTTACAATAACGACCGGTTTCGTATGAAAAATATCCTGATGCTTAAAAGAACTGACACGGCGCCAGTGTGAAGTTTAGGGCCACGTAAGATTTGAGGTTCACACGGTGGTGAAGATGATGATGTTCTGGATCATAACGCCTTGTAGGCACAAAAATAGATGAAGTTTCGGAGAAACATTCCGTCAACTGAACTCTGAAGATGGAGACAGTATGTTTCTCTGAAATGTCATCTGCCTACGAGTGTAGAAGGCGTCATAATAAAAGTACAATAACTTGGAGCTTATGTCTGACAACTTCCGTGCATTACGTACGTGTTGTTCAGGTAACTGCTTGTATAAAAATATTTCACAAAACGAAGATGGTTTATGGGATGCAGAGCGACGTCTTGTGTGGTAGATGTTGACTGAAATTACTGACGAACGTATTTCCTCCATCATCAGAGTGAGTCACTAAGCTTTTGCATTCCAAGACTATGATTATATCTAGGCGTTGTTCCCAGTATTTCCTGTCTAAAATCTGGAGAGAAAAATTTTATGTTTGGAAAAAATATTAAATTGTTTTAAAATCTAACTCTGACTTGAAACTTCCATAGCGAAAACCAGCAACTGCATAACTCTGGTCCTAAACGCCTTGACAGAACGACAACTTCTCCAACCCCTTAGCAGCGCGGGTCAGTCTGCATATCAAGGCTTTATTATCGGCACGATTAAAACTCTGTATTGCATCAGAAAGAAAAGTTAAAACAATAAACAAGCAGTTGTGGCGATGTGTGAACACAAACTGCTGAAACAGCTAGTAGTAAAGAAGTGACCATCGCAACTTACATTCCACTTTGGTTGATTCGAGTGACCTGAAGGAACCATGAAGCACTTTTGCATCAAAACGGCTAACTCTTGAGTGTACCCACAGCCACTCATTAATTCGCGTTTAAATATATATTATCATTGCACAACAGAGGGAACTGTGATCTTGTTCCAATTCCTGGTGATACAGACACGCAGTGTCCTACATAAGCAAACTGTGATTACGTAAGTCAAACGAAGTTTTATAAACGTGAATTTTTGCCTGTTTTAGTAGAACTTAGCAAAACAGAAAATTTTTAAGAGTCACGTTCGATGTTCCGTTGATCGCTCCTGTTATTAAAAATTTAAAGCCTCCTGGCAGCCGTACATACCAGCAGCTTTAGCATTCATCGCCTCTATGTTTTGTAATTGCGGGTCTTGTACCATTCTGTGTAAACAGAGGTTATTTTACACCCACGTTACAAAAACTGTGTAGCCCATTGAGGTTTTTACGGCAGTGAAACTATTGATTCAACACAAGCTGTACCTTTCATTGAAAAGGAAGTTTCCACTCCCAATTCACATGTTCCCATGATCGCCATGTTGTTACTGATCTCATAAAACGGAGAGTACAAATGTGAACTCAGCTTTCTTTTCATTCTGTCTTCCTTGATCTCTCTCTTTTGAAAAATAAGCCCGTCAAATTTCGTTTCTACAGCACCCTTTCTTCCTGACCAGAACGTCGCATTTATGACATCATGGCAAGTCCGGCATCGTGGTACCATCATTCAAAGAGTGGTGACGTCACGCGTTGACCCTGAACCCTCATTCCACGCTTAAGGAAGAAGCGCAAATGATTGAGATCTGTTTATAAGCCGAGCTCGGATGAGAAGCTACGCTCACTGATGGCTGTCAACTCAAGAGGTAGGTGCGTGTAATAGTGGACTAGGTTGTGCTTCATGCAATCTTCAGGGTGTGAGGAGGGGACGTTCGGTTAAGATGTGTCAAAGTTCATCACCTTCTTCTGTAGAAATTAGGAGCTTTTTATCAAAATTTTCGAAATTTTCTTCACGATATAAACACAAAGTGAATGTCAATTCGATTCGATAAAGTCGTTATTAGTCAATTTAAACACTTTAAAGAAACATTCTTTGGCTGTTTTGCAACGACAAAGTATGCTTCTTCCATAAATGAATCCAGTAGGGATAATTTCGATAATAAATTAGCATGAATTAAAATGTAAATAAAATTTGTTCACGTTGATTAACATGGATCTTTTATGTCCGAACAAAACAAGTAAAGGGCTTGTTTGACCTGGTCGTTTGGCAAATTAGTGTTGTGAAATTTGTCTCCCAACATTTTGTAAGAGATCACAAATCGAGGTTCACAGAACATTGTGCTGAAGAAAAATGAACATTGGGAATCAATAAGGATGAGATGCAGAGAGGCATGCAGTGGATTGGATTCGTCTGGCTCAGGACAGGGACCGGTGTCCGATTGTTCTGCACATGGTAACTAACCGACCATGAAGGTCCGTTCGATTTCATCTCGCGTCTATAATCTCTCCTGATACAATAAGAAATTTCACGTACTTCCACGAGAATATGAATTTTGAGAATTCTCCATTTCGTATCATTTGCTGAAAACGACTTTTCAAGTCAGCTGACACCCGAAAAATTATTTTACTTAATGGAAATGAGAAATACTAGGAACGCTTTCCATGCATCCTGTTGATAAATTGCATAACACTGACAGTGAGTCCACACACCAACTTAAAAATGAGTCACTCTTCTCGTAGCAGTCCTTGAAATGTGCTAGGACTGGGTCCAACCTGATTAATAAAAACAAGGCGATTCCCGTCTAGTAACTTTTTCTGTGGGCAGGCATTTTGTTACGTTACACGCAACACGTGTTCGCTCTGATCGGGTGCGAACCAGCATTCATATCAACCTTCTGGAGCAGATTTTGATACCTGGATTTTGTGGGCAAATTTCTGTCTGTTACAACAATGACCTTGGATACCACTGTTGCATTTCTCTCTTAGTTCCCCTGCTGACGTCATCGCCCGTGAAGATGAGTAAAGAACAGCTTTGGAAGCGAAGCGTACTCCAAAGAGTGCACTTTTCAAATCTTGATCGTTTTAGACCTCTGATTGAGAGGGCTCGTGCGAGTTCTGCATTTTTCTTTGCCGTTAAGCCCATATTTTTCGATTTCACATACTGATACAGATTTCGTGAGCAATAAGACTTGTGATTTTCATTAATGAGGCCCCTGGTTCGAATCTCAGCTATAGAACAGATTCTCGTTACCGGTTTCTTACAATAAGAATTTCCCGTTCTCCGCTGTTCATAATCACCTTCCAGTAACATTTAAAACAGTTTATAAAGCGTCGTTAAATAATCTACTTTTTAATCCATTGACAGCAACTGCTTCGGTATTCCACAATGTTCTTGAATAAACGCTCTGTTAGAACCTACTCCCATGTTACATTCTGACACATGATAGGCCGCGTCCTGTAATAATCGAGTTTTATGCAGTCGGTGGGAATCGTTCGGAATCTTCTGTCAGCTGCAGTTATTAGCACTGAACTACGTCAGTGCCCACAAATCTCGCTCTGCTTCTCAGCTGTTAATGTTAATAAATGTCGGATAAACTCACAAAGACCTTGAGCATGCAGCTAAGTATCGAGTAACTCACATGCCATCACGACTCGGGAATTCCCTCCAAGTTAGATATTCCTTTTCTCTGGGCCATCATCTTCATGGATCCTGATTCACGTCACGTTTTAAGCGCGTTTCAAAAAAAAAATAATATTCCGACAAGAATCTATTAATTTCGTCATATCCATTGTCAGTCCCGAGGTAACAGTATGTAACTACAGGATCGATTTGTATTAAACCTGGTATGATAGACATAAACTACATACTTTAATATAGGGATTTGTTATCCGCATTTCAATATTCATCTCGCGTTCATGTCATTTGACGTTCACAAAACATCCTTCCTTGCCCAGTGCTCGTTCAAAGGGACCCAACTGAGTAGGAAACTTGTTATCACATTTTTGTGCCTCATAGGAAAAGAGGTCTAGTTTCCGAGACGCTGTGTTTGTAAAACGCGAACACAATAAATATGTCGATTTCTGTCTTCTGGGTTGTTGCTCCGTGATGACGGGCCCTGATGACGGAGGCAGTATGACCTCAGATACGTTGGTTAACATCGACTAGACTACACAGCGCAACAACCCAGAAGACCGAAATCTTCATACTCATCGCCCTGATGACGGAGGCAGTATGACCTCAGATACGTTGGTTAACATCGACTAGACTACACAGCGCAACAACCCAGAAGACCGAAATCTTCATACTCATCGCCCTGATGACGGAGGCAGTATGACCTCAGATACGTTGGTTAACATCGACTAGACTACACAGCGCAACAACCCAGAAGACCGAAATCTTCATACTCATCGCCCTGATGACGGAGGCAGTATGACCTCAGATACGTTGGTTAACATCGACTAGACTACACAGCGCAACAACCCAGAAGACCGAAATCTTCATACTCATCGCCCTGATGACGGAGGCAGTATGACCTCAGATACGTTGGTTAACATCGACTAGACTACACAGCGCAACAACCCAGAAGACCGAAATCTTCATACTCATCGCCCTGATGACGGAGGCAGTATGACCTCAGATACGTTGGTTAACATCGACTAGACTACACAGCGCAACAACCCAGAAGACCGAAATCTTCATACTCATCGCCCTGATGACGGAGGCAGTATGACCTCAGATACGTTGGTTAACATCGACTAGACTACACAGCGCAACAACCCAGAAGACAGAAATCTTCATACTCACCGCTGTGACAACCTCAAATCTTACACAATAAATATGTCCATAATAATAGTGCATTGTAACACACCATCGGGAGAGACTCTCACCAGCGATAGTGATACACAGCTTATCATATTGAGGTCATAATGTCAGAAGGGCGTATTAACATATTTGCATAATAGGACGCATTTGGTCTAACAGCATAAAAATAGTGGGACTTATGTCATGCCAAAAGCGCGTGATGTTGATGCTGTCACACAAAGCGATACAGACAATTGCATTTGCGCAAAGGAACGCTAATAATGCACATTTTGTCAAACCAAATGAACGTACGAATTTAATTGTCTGTAATAAGTAATTTTTGATACGCTCTTCTGGCATGATGCTCTCGATATGGTCTTTATTATCCAGTTTCCCCTTACTCACAGCTGCGAGACACGTGATTAAGCCAGCCCAACTTTCAAAACACTCCCGAGGTTTTTAACTTCGAATTTTTTGTCATATGGTGCAAATTACGCTGAGGCCTAACAGATATTGTTTACTGTGCAGGTAAAATGTGTAACCTTAAGTTGGTAGCAGTACTTTTGCTGGCCGTTGCTTCAGTCGATCTGCGCCATATTGAAAGACGTCCCTCCTTCATCGGATGTGTGGATTCCAGTGAGTGCAGCAAAGAACAGTGCTGTGTTCTAGGTACGTACAGGAACATCAATCCCTTACTAACCGCGGGAACTGCGTCTTTAAGAACACCAAAGTTGGCAAGACTGCGGGGGTTACTTGAGCCCCGATAGTTTTGACACTCAAAGCCAAATTCAGTCACCATTTCCTTAAAAAATATGATAAAATTAATAGTTGTTCACGTGATAAGACTATTTATTGTAATGAACTGGAAAGGATGCTGAAGGAAGTGGTCGTGGTCTAATTTTGACACTGTCCCGACATTTGCCTGGAAGGACTGAGGAAATCCACGACAACCGCGAATCAGGACAGCTAGTCTCCGGGCCCAGTTTCGAACCCAGAAGTCATAACCACGTAATTCAACTGTTCCAGTTTGGTATTTTCTGAAGCCAAAGGAAACACGGGTACGTACAGGAACATCAATCCCTTACAAACCGCGGGAACTGCGTCTTTAAGATTTTGACACTGTCCCGACATTTGCCTGGAAGGACTGAGGAAATCCACGACAACCGCGAATCAGGACAGCTAGTCTCCGGGCCCAGTTTCGAACCCAGAAGTCATAACCACGTAATTCAACTGTTCCAGTTTGGTATTTTCTGAAGCCAAAGGAAACACGCCAGACAATTGTTATCAAATTCGGTAAGAAAATTGCTACATAAGTTTTTGGAAAGGCACTGACTTTGATTTAGTGAGGTTCCTCCAACACCTCTGCAGAATTCTTCTTCTTTTTTACCCAGAAGACCATCAGCAAGTTTCGCCCGTGTGTTATTCTGTCAACCGACTGATTCTGACTCATGTTCTGACAGTTGGTGCAATTTCTACCCGCAGGTGGGGGCCGGTACAGCAGCCCTCAGTGCACAAATTTGGGTGAAGTCGGCGACTCCTGTCGTCCATACGGAACCGTCCCATTCAACACCACGGTGGATTACCCGAACGGCTACAGTGCGACGCTCACCAACGTTCATTTTATCATGTGCGACTGTGCAACAGATTTGGTGTGTGACCGTGACTCTTCCACATGCCAGCTTCCTCAAATCCTCACACGAAATTCCGTCCTGTAACCATCTGCACCCAACTGACCTTGCTCTGCGATTATTTCTATGCAGATAAGCCAAAGCCTTGACAAAACACCTTGAATATCGTTAGCTCGTATGGCTAGTTCATTGACCGAAACATATTAAAACAAAATATATAGGCTTCATTCGCTATCTAGGGCAGGGGTTTTAATCCGCGGCCCGCATACATTTTTTTAAATATATCAGACTATTTTAAGAGAAATAGGTCTCGTTAATATTGTCATTACGTTTCAATAATTGTCACTGTGAACAAATCCCGAGTTCGATTATAAACGTCAAAGAACTAGAACGAGTCTCACTGGAGAAAACTCGGGATTTATAAAAATCTTAACAGAAATTAAACTTAGTATGTTCGTACGCGAACCTGTTTTGCGACAGTGGACCTAATTTAGTAGCATTTTAATAAACTAGCGCGGGGTTTCAATAATGTTCCTTGTTTATAACCTAGGAACCTGTGTCCAGAAGGAAGGGTTAATCTGGCCTCAGGTGCGAATATTTGCAATTATTATCAGTCTACAGCGTGTCGGCTGTAGGCCATCGAGGCAGCCTTCAGCATAAGGGATTAGTCCCTACCCCACAACGGTTTCAAGCAACCGTTTGTAATCTTATCATCGTAAGTTGGAAGATTTGCTTCGACGTGAATAACCGTAGACTAGATACATAACTGTACCACTTATGTACTATAGAGGTGTACCTTCTGCACTAACCGACGCTCTAGAAAGGTCTTTAGGTTTGTTAGTTTCACTACAGATCCAAGAAATGGTTCCTCCGAAATTTGGCAGATAATCGACTAGTAAAAAACAACAGCAACAATTCTCTACCGGCACACACTTCCTGTCACAACAACAACACAGACTGCATGAATTTTGCCATGATGATTTGAATTGTTGAAATTCATAAAAATTTTAAATTTTGCCAGAAAGAGAAACATGCCCTATACGTAACGTTCAAGCATCTTACTACGTTATTTCATTTCGTGCAGTTAAGTTATTACTATGAAGCTAACTGTCGCTCATCTAGTCTAGAAATTCCTCTCTTATTACCTACACAAATAAGGTCATTCTGTTTACAAGAGTTCGCCTTCGTATCACCTCTCAATTATAATATTATCCTATCCTCCCATCTACTCCTAGGTCTCCCTTCCTGGGTTCCTGACGACAACTTTTAATGAACTTCTTGTCTCACCCGTACGTGATATATATTCAGTTAATCACATCCGCCTTCATTCCATTCTCCTTATAATGTAGCTAAAATTGAATATTTCACATTACAAAGTTGTACATTATGTATTTTTTTCCAATCAACCTATTCTAATCTCATTGCAACACTTCGGTTTATGTTAAAACTTGGAACCAAAACACAGAGTCTATGATTCCAACCCGTATATGACGTCTCGATGTTTTGTACATTGGATCTCAATGCTAATCGCCACAATAAATAAACCAAGTAGTACTTTTAAGACGAAGCTCATGTATCAGACGTCAGTAACAGAATAAACTATGTTTACATATGTAATCTGTTTTTCCTATTTATTTAAGTAACTGGCAAACAGCGTATGAATTCTGAAGCCACTTTTTTTCCAAACCTTTACGAATACAAAGCAGGGAGTCTTCACATACTCACTCATCGTCAGCGTTATCAATGGAAGTTTGCCAAACAAATAATATTTAGAATAGAATACTTCAACACAAACTGCATAACGTAAACAAGAAAGAAACTTAACCCACTCCATACTGCAAGTGGATGGCAAATGTTGCACAATCATCACTGCTATGACGTTACAGGGAACATTATTTGTCCTCAGAGCCCTCTGCTGAAGAAATCTTCTGCAACATTCGTATTTAAGATACTTTACGTCAGAGGCCTGGAAATAACGAACGATTTCTTATCATTCCATAACAAAATATGATTTACCACCAGATCCACTCATTTACAGGTCCTCCTATAACATTAACGTCAGTAGAACGTTTCCGTCCTGACGTCCATTACCAACTGAAATCAAAATGTCGGACATATCGCAGCCTGTCCATTGAACGTCACGTTCTAGTGGTTAGCACTCTTCCTCGTATTCGGGATTCCTGGATTCAAACATCCCGGGAAACGACTATCCTGACTGGAGTTTTTCACCAGCCCCTTCAAGCTAATTTTGAGATAAACCTGAATTTGTAGGATTTGAGGTTTTCACGGCGGTGAGTATGAAGATGGCCGTCTTCTGGGTTGTTGCCCCGTGTAGTCTGGTAGAAGTTTACCGACGTTTTAGTGGTCCTTGCTGCCTCCATCATCAGGGCGAGCAAGGACCCCTGAAACATCGGTATCCAGCCACATCAGAACCCTGATGATGGGGACAGAGTTGGTTCCCGAAACGTCGGTTTACTACGGTAACCAGTTGACGTGGTTGATTGCCATAGAAGATTTTATTGATTGTATTCGCCGCGAAAGTCTCAAATCCTATATTTTCAATAGTATTTATAATTTTTTATATATAAATTGTGCACAGAACATCTTTCATATAACATACACCGCATACACACAAGAATTTATTCAGGCCACGAGAACTGGTCAATTAGAGTCAAGGGATGGGGAGGTGAGATAGAGCCAAGCCAACAACAGAGCCATTTTCACGGCATCAGAAAAGAAAGTTGGATCAGGAGTCAAAAATTAAAATAAAACGCTGCCCTGCTTGTATCTTGCAATATAATGTTAGTACATGCCTGCAGAACGAGCTACAGGTGTGTGATGGCTCACAAGCAGTACGATTGTGCAGGTTACATTACTGACAAGCAGATAAAAAGTTCCAGTTTATTTAGCTAATCCTTCAACGTGTGGAAAATAACAGAGAAACGTGTCTCTCCCTGTAACACATCCCACCAAATGTTTTCTGGTGGTAAATCAGAAATGTTTTGGTTAAAACTGACAATCATTTCCTTTCGCTTACTCATTGTCTCATTAAATTCACTTATTCTATAAAATACCTAAGATGTGTCAGTTTAAGTTGATAACAGTGATGAATCTCGTATATTTAAACAGTCTAGTAATTCTGATACAAACTTAACCTTCTGATTGAACATATTTTGTACAATTACACCTATAAAATACAAAATAATAAATTACGTATATGCCATTGAAAACGTGTTTCAGCACACACCCAAGTCGTGAATTGTAGGATTTGTTTTTCTTTTTATCGATGTTCGTTGCTTTAGAAGGAGAACGGTATATAACGATGTATAAGTTCGATTTATTTTCCGCCTAGTACTGCTACGATGCCCTAATAACCTTCAACCTTCGTTTTATTATTAATAAAACCAATGGCATAATTATATATAAAAAGCAATAACATACTTCGAAGTATATTAGCATAATTTCCGACATATTCTTTATGGCCTTCGATTTTCGTTTGCTTCTGACGCAAATCTTGTAACCGGTAGTTCAAAACGCGTTTCTTATACGTACCACTAAACATGTGGATAAATTAATTAAATCCTGTATAGGATATATCTTTAAAATAAGACGAATTCCTTTACGTCAGCAACAATACCATTTATTCACTTTTTTGTTGCTATTTCCAAGAATATTAGCTCTTAAATTGCTATTACGAACTGAATCTGATTAATGAATTATTAATATAAATTACTGGAACTGGCGTATTGTTAAAGAAATCTAATCTGGGAGCTGGTAGAACGTCTTGTAATGCGAACTACTTGTTGATACATGCTATTTCCTTAAAGTGTTATCCACTCATGATAAAACCCAAGTTTAAATAAAATCTAAATGCTTTATTGCATTGGTGACAGAGAGATATATGTCCTTGTCGCTCTCGGACGTTGTGTTATTTCCTCGAAATGTGACGTAGTGTGGGTTTGCCACTCACTTCCAGACTTATGATTACCTCAACATTAAAAAATGAAGGTGAGGGGAGGGGCAGGTTGTTTATATAAAACTTGTGTACCCAGTCACATTCAAAATTTTCTTCCATCACTCCGAGTGTGAATTTCAGATAAACTCAAACCAGGCCACAATGGCAAGACACATTTTAGTCGCAGCACTGATCTACAGCCTTCTGTGCCGTGTTGAATCCCAACTGGACCCAGTCAGTGAGGAATGTCTGCAGTGCATCTGCGAAGCTTCCACAAGTTGCGATTTCGGTGTAGGGTGTGGCACTGAAACGTGTGGACCTTACGGGATAACTTGGGGGTACTGGAACGACGGCTTGAGGCCGGTGTTGAACCAGGACAGTCCCGAGGCTGACGGAGCTTACGCGCGCTGCGCCAATGACCAGCAGTGCGCGGCAAGAGTTGTGCAGAACTACATGTCGAGGTATGGACATGACTGCAATGGAGACGCAGAAACTACCTGCTATGATTTTGCAGCCATACATCGTTCTGGGAGCAACAATTGTGGAGCACAGTTAGACAGTGGTTACTTTAATAGGTTAATCAATTGCATGGCCCTGTACGGGATGTATTAGCCACGACATTTCAAAAGAAACATGCTGTTGTTCGATGCGTTTCGTTCGGTAAACGAAAATACTTCACAAAAATTTAAAGGTGTTCATCAGATACGCACAAAGTCACACAGTGCGCATTAAAAGTTCTGTGTTAGTGGTTCAGCTTTCAACAGTGCGTTATAAGAAATGATCGCTGGAGTATTTCCGTGGTGCGTCTTACCGAGGTTGAGTCAATCTTCAGCAATTGATGTTTTAACCCGTACGTGTTATCGCCATGAACCTCGATCTGTACCTCAACGTCGTGCGTGCGATATCTCGCTAAATTTAGCATTTGTTTATTCACATTCACTGGGGACTTACGCCTCCCAAACAGAAAACAAGTGACACTGGTAACATGAATAGAGATGTGAATGTTATGAAGAGAAAGCATAGTGCATAATCCATTAACAGAGCAGGCGCACTGGCCTACACACTGCGTATACGAAATTATATTTATATGTAATATTTCAGTACATTAAATACAGAGTTCAGTTATGTTTATGTAGTGTAATTTATTGTATTTAACCCTGCAAAGAACAAAACTCGCGTATAACGTTCAAAAACTCGGTTCTTACCTACAACTAAACACACCACATCCTTTCAATGATATTTAGGGAAATGCAGTATTTCTTCCTGGAAACCAAATGAAACCCTCACGACTCTGAACGGCAATGAGTAACATGAGCACAAAATCATGTAGAATACATAGTTTCAGCTGATCTGCAAGCCTAAATGGTTTCTGAAACGAACAGGGTAGATTAAAACAAATTAGAAAAGTTAATAAAACTGAATATAAAACAAAGACAATGATTCACCGGCAATTATTTGTTCGCTGTAGACTGAGTTTTTTTAAGATCTCCTGTTCTAGCCTTTGTTTCAGAAAATCAGTAGGCTTACATGAAGGATTTGAGGTTTTCACAGCGGTGAGTATGAAGATTTCCGTCTTCTGGGTTGTTGCGCTGTGTAGTCTGGTCGATGTTTACCAACGTTTCAGAGGTCATACTGCCTCCATCATCAGGGCGATGAGTATGAAGATTTC